AAAAATATAAAATAATTTTTAGAAATACTTAGTTATTTTATTTTTCTCTCTGAATATTGAAAATATTGAGAATTTAGTTTCTCTCTATTTATAAATCCATTTTTAGAAAATAAAATATCCAGGGACTTCTAAAAATTTATTTTATCAATCTAAAAATCATTTAAAGTCAAATTATTAATTTCAAATTGATTTGATGGGATTTGGATCTAAATATGTTAAGAAGATATTAGTTTTTGCTAAAGCACTCCATCTTATATTATGGACTATAATTCGTGCTCACTTTCTCAAACTGATCCAGTGGTTCCATGATCCATAGACCATCGTAGGGATTCATGATTGGGCTACCAAAGTCAGCCAATAGGTGAGGGGACACAATCATAGTCTATGTATTACAGGTTCCCCCTAGGGACATGTCCCATGTCACACAGACTTGGTACAACCACAACTCTATGATGTATATGGGGATCATCTCTCGCACATATACACGTATCACCCTCAATGGTATTTTCTCTCCGGACACGGCTATCATATGTACATGATGTGTGATGGTTCAAGATGAGGATTTGGCTCTCGTCCCTACAGGCCTGCCATCACACACAAGGGTCACACAGTCCCTTGGCTCACTATCCTGGGCAACTCCAACCTCATCAAGGGATAACCCTTTTAACCCTCATCGGTTGTGCTCTATGTCCAGGTGTTTGTAAGGCCTAGCTTGTTAAGTCTAGTCTGAGTCTCAACAAACATCATTTGCCAATGTCTGTTCCACTGGACCATACTCCCACTAGAGTTCTGTGTTCCACCATATCAAAATATTGATTACATGCTCACACAAGGCCTTTAATGGCCATGAAAACCCAACACTGAGATCTACTTGGCCTCTCTGAGCTTATTGGTGAAAAAATTGAGAAAAACCTTAGGTTGCCTTGCTACCCCTTTAACTTGGGGCAGAAGACATGTCTCTCTACGATACTATAGAGCTGAGAAGGAAAAAAAAGGATCTTATAAGTGATTCCTGAAATTTATAACTTATATATACAATAAAGAATAAAGAATGGCTAGAATGCCCTAATGAGGGGAATAACGCAGCTGCCCTTGAACAATAAACAATAGCTTAACTACCCTAAAACAACATATATATAATTTATTTAAAATGCATGCCTTTATTCTTTCATATGGTCCATATAAATGCACCTTAGGATCTTTTTTGATCGTAAGTTAGTAATGTGTTTTGTAAACTCTTGTTCTTATTTTTGTTTATCGCAAAACAACTAATCTTTTATTAGATTTATCCATTTTTTTGGTCTGTTTTATGATTTTGTTGCTATGCTAATAATGGTGCAAAACCTGTTGTGATTAACTTTACTATTTGTATATGTGTTGTTGGTTTATTCCCTTTATTTTCTGTCTACTGTGTGCCTTATGTGGAACATTTACCTTGAAGGCTGCTAAATTCTGCATGGAGAAAATTGGTCTTTTGAATGAATTGGAGAGATCTATATTTCCTGCACTGGGTTTGTGCAAAAGTTATCTTGATGAAGTATTTCATACTTTGAAAGAAATTGTACCCCCTGGTATGTGGTTTTTGGACTTTCACCATGCATGCATTTGTTGAGTACTTCCATTACTATGAAAAAATTACTCTGCATTTAATCTATCATATATGCTTGGAAATATGAAGTCTCTCTCATGTATATATTATTGACCCTCTAGCAGTCTTGGATGGAGCAGAGGTATTAGGAGTTATATATGGTGATGTCTTTCCTTTTTTTTTTCTTGGCCCTTGATAGAGCAGAATGGTAGACCAGGATTCGTGTAGCCGACCCTAAATAGTTGGGAAAAGACTCTGATGATGATGATAGATATCTTTCCTTTTTTCCTGTTTTTCAAAGGGGAACTTAGCTATCATGGCATTTCCTTGTTGGAAACAATCTATCAGAGCATTCTTAAATGTTATCATCAATCGATATTTGAGTGATAATCGTCCATTCCTACTGATTGGTGCCAAAATGAGGACTAATGTGTACATAGGCAGATCAATGTAGGTAGTGTGCAATTTTTATGATGGACCCACATGAGTAATTTTTCAGAGTGATCGTGCATAAGTAATTGTTTATATCACCCTCTATTCCCACTACTAACATGTCAAAAAAGAAATTGTTTTTATCAGGGTGTGTGGCGAACTTCTTGTTAACAACTTGAAGTACAAATCAAGTTGAAAAAGATGTCATTTACTGTCATTGATGTATTATCACCTAAATACACAAATCTTGCATAATTGTCTCTCTAAGTCAGAAGGGGTTGCACAAAATGATGGCAAAATGTAAAAGAAAATTTCAATGACGTGATTCTTGGTTACATTGACCTTGGGTTTTTGTATTTGGAAAAAGTTAAACAATATTGTTAGATAAAATTTACTCCGAAATTACAATACACTGGATAAGTGAACTTCAGGAACCTCCATCCTAATCTTGGTGGAACACGATCCCATTTAGTAATGAATTTGCTTTTGTATAGATACAGAATGCGCTCCCTGAAAGTCTGGGATTGCGATCCCTTTATTTTACCATGTACAAACCTTGTTCCCCCATCCATCCATGGAACTTCAAGCCTCCCTTGCTCCGCGCTCCTGCTCCTAATCCTGGAGCTTTTGTTGCTCCCGTTCCTAGTTACTATGCTTTGAAAATATATAAAAATTCTAGTTTCATGGCAGTGAAGGCACCCTTGATTGCTATAATACCATATCATGTTTGAACTTGTCATGTTTTAAACTTGCTACTTCATTGTTGCTTCGTGTATTGGTAAATTATGCTAGAATTTTTGTTTTAGCAAGTGATAAAAGTTCTGTTAAAATGTATCAAGTATAATAGGTAAAGGTTCAAAGAGGTGTCAAGGCAACAACTAAATGACCTTGTAAGCGACTTTGCAGCTAATTTACTTCCCTCTATCATAGTTTCATGGCAACAGCTAAATGACCTTGTAAGACTCTGTATAGGCTAATTTAGCTGCCTCTATCCTAGTTTCTATAGGAACATAACAGAATGTGACATGTCAAGGCAGGTAAGGAAAAAAACAATCAAAGATGGTGTTTATTTTGACAATATCAATAATATGGGTATGCAATTATTGTTTACATTGTTACATGTAGTAGATGGGTAGAATGTTGTGCCTTTCCTTGAATTGCTGTGGGTTCAAATCACACAACCTACATTGCTTGTAAATAAGTATATTTTATGAAAGTGTTGAATATATATCATTATCATCATCGTAGCCTTTTCCCAATTAATTTGGGTTGGCTACACGAATCTTGGTCTGCCATTATGCTCTATCAAAGGCCATATCCTCAGTAAGGCCATAAGTCCCCATATCTTTTCGGACTACTTCCAACCACGTCTTTTTGGGCCTAACCTTTGCCCTTTTCATTCCTTCCACTTGAACTAATTCGCACCTCCTAACAGGTGATTTACTTGGTTGGCGTCACATGGCTAGCCTACCTAAGTCTACTCTCTCTCATCTTACAGCCTATTAGTGCCACACCTAAATTTTCCCAAATGGATTCATTTTAAATTCTAAACTTTGTTAACTTTATATAATTTATATAAATTCAAAGTCTTGAATATATAAACTATATAAAGTTAACAAAGTTGGAATAAAATGAAATGAAAATTATTATGATGCAATAAATTTAAAATTAATCGTATTTTTATTTTTCAAAATAATACTTATTTTGACATATATGAATATTGTAATTTTTGACATTGTATACATTGTATCATGGTGCAAAGTGGTAGAGTTTGCCTCTCCACAATAGATTGTGGGTTCAAACTGCACTACTGACATTACTTTTTAATACCATCGTGACATAAGATACTTGCCTTTGATTGTCAACATTTTTGACATGGAATGTTGACATGCCTTGCCTGAGGCCCAACCCTCATCCTTTGTCCTTCGAAAATAAAGAATCTAAAAGTCAATTAGATTGAAGTTTTTTGGCGTGTACTAAACATTTTATAGTGTGGATTTGGGAGCATGTTCTCCTGGTATACTCAAACTTGAGGCCAAGCACTTTTGTCTTGAAACTATATCCACAAGTGGAAGACAATGATCTGACTTTTGTTTGTTTTGGGTATGAAATTGCTCCAGCATGTTTTACCTGTGGCTTTTGTTTCTCACTTATATCTTCAGGATTGCCATTATTCTTGGTGTGGAGAGTGTTAGTAATGCTGTATTTTATCTTACCAGACATTGGAAATTGGTTTGAAAGAGAAGAGGGCTTGGCGTTAGCTGTTCAAAAGGGTTATATTTCTCCCAAGTTATGTAAACTTGTGCGAGTCATTTGTTTGTTGGGGTAAGGAGGTCTACAGTACATTGCTTTTGGATGCTGAGTTGCTGACTCATATTGGTGATAGTCTTCTAATTTATGATGATTGTTTGGTGTGTAGGACGTCCAAGCTGTTTCATTGTCTAATTTTTGTGGAAAGAATCATTGCAGCTAAAGTATTGGCATGTTTTGTGTCAAAGATGAGTCTCCTATCAGAATTCACAAGTTCTTATTTGACTGGGGATACTTCATCATCAGATGCATTGGCACCAAAAGTGCAAAAGCAAACTTTAGATTTGTTTCGTTCTGGGAAGGTATGGTCATTACGTGTTTGGGTACTTGGAATTTTGGTTCTTTTGTGGATTCTTAGGATGTTCAAATTTATTACTTCTAATAAAAAAATTTCAATTGTAGTTGCAATTAAATTTTGTTTTATTGGAGTCTTTGGGCTTCTTGATTTGTTGGTTCTTGGTGGCTATTGTCCCACTCTTTTTTTTCTTCTTTTGATTGGTGACCGTTGTGCTACTTATTTAGGTTAATTTGTTGTTCACTACTGATGTTGCTGAGGAAGGAATGGATTTGCATATCTGCTCTTCTGTAATACGGTTTGATCTACCAAAAACTATTCGGAGTTACATTCAGTCACGAGGACGTGCTCGGCATACTGATTCTCATTATGTTCTTATGCTTGAAAGGTCAGTCGTCAATATGATGTTTGTGCTAATGGTACCTGTGCAATGTTTGGCTAATTTTCCGTTGTTTGTGCTAATTGTACCTGTGAATGTTAACTGCTGAACGATTGAAGTATAGACTCTTTTTCATTATGAATTTGAAAGAAAGAGAATTGCTTTTGCTTGTTTTAGGAATGTATTTTCCAGTCAAGGAAATAAAAGTTACAATCGGTATGGCACTACTCTCATGGTAATGGCAAATCCAGTGGATTGCTTGCTTAATTCATAGATTAGGTTTAACTATACATACATAAGTACTTACATTTTGTTTACAAATATATAAGTACTCAAATAAAGACACACTAACATGTCCATTTGCGCCCTGGGACTTGGCCAATTGAGGTTGATTAATGACACGTAACAAGCAATGGATGTGCCAAATACAATGGCTACCTGCAAATGAATTATGTACAGTTAGTGCGTGACCTTGTCCAGTCTATAAAGATGCTTTCCACTATTCGTGAATGAAACTATTTAAATATGGTACTCATGATGAATATGCAGGTTATCTGAACTGGCCCTTAGTCATTGACACATCAGGATATAGATTGAAACCATTATTCGCTTAGTCAAATTCTTGTGCTTCTTGCTACTTGAGAACTTCGTGACTGTGTGCTTCTAGTTTGTGATGATGTTTGATTCTCTTCTTGTGATATTCTTTATTTGATGAGGTGATGATTGGTCCCTTGGTGTTGCATCCTTGAATCATATTTAAGATTCATTGCCAACGTAATATGACCATTATCATATGACAAGAAATCTTATGCTCTTTTGTAATTTCTAAACATTTACAATTGATTTCACTTCCAATTGTCCTTTGAAGGCCGTACAATGACTCCTCACTCTTTCTCAAGCCCATCCCATGTACATGCTTGGCTAACACATTTGCTACCAATCCTTTTGTCAAAGGATCTACTAGTATATCCTCTGCCGAGAGATAAACAACCTCGATATCTCTTGCTTGGATCTTGTTGTGAATGTGTAGTAGTCTGCCTTTGTATGTGTGATTTCTTGTGAAATCGTTACTCTTTAGCCACTCCAATCATTGCCTGGTTATTGCAGAAGATCCTCACACATGAGCACTTTATTGGATCCAGTGTTCCAAAACACGTAACGCCCAGCACCTGGGCGGTCGCCTAGGTGGATTTGGGGGCTTGGGCGATGGCCCCCTAAAAAAGTGGTGGTCCTTGGGTGCCTAGGCGATGGCGCCCTAAAAAAGTGGTGGTCCTTGGGCGCCCAGGACCGCCTAATGCCTAAACCGCCAAGGGATTGCGCCCCGCTCAGAGGTGGAAAACAGTTTCGTTAGGGCATTTTTTGTCCCTTTTTTTATCCTAAAGGGTTAAAAAGGGGGGTTTTAGGTCCATTTGAAACCTAAAACTCATTGGAGCCCATTTTAGAGAGAGAAAACCCCAAAAAAACTAGTTTTTTTGTGATTTCTTTAAGATCGAAGGGTTCTCAAAGTTATGAAAAATTGATCAAGACATCACCCATTGATATTATATTTAATTTTTGATGTTTTATAAATCTATTTGGGGGGTTTTTAGAAGATTTTGAGTCTTTAGAAGCATCTTTGAGGCGGAGGTTTGGAGATTGAGCATTCAAACTCAAAGTAAGTGATTTTTTTTATTACTTGTATAAATTGCATTATTTTGAGATGTCTTCTTCGGGATCTAATAGGAGTGATGATCCCGATTGGAAATATGGCTATAACCCAGATCCTAATGATAAAAATTGCATAAGATGCAATTTTTGTGAGAAGGATACAAAAAGGGGCATAAACCGGTTCAAGAAACATCTTGTCGGTATCAGGGGGGATGTTGCTCCATGTAAAAAGACTCATGATGCTGTTAAAGAGGAAATAACCAATTTTTTGAATATGGTAAAAAGGAAAAAAGATGAGAGATTTGACTCCATAGCAGAGATTAGGTCTGGGGTTCGGGTCAATTATGATGATGATAGTAGTGATGAGGATGGGATTGGGGAGGGATGTCAAGAGGTAGAAGTAGAACAATCCATTGTTAGGGGAAAGGGAAAGGGAGTTGTAATTGCTTCTGGTTCTTGTTCTGGGGATAAGAAGAAGCATCGGATTAGATGCCTTATAGATAGTTATTTGCCTCGGCCTGACTCTGAGGTTGCAGGAGAGAAAACAAAAAAGCAACAACCTTTGAAAATAGAATGAAGAACGAAGAAAAGAGATAAAGCTGCTTATTATCTTGCTACATGGTTTTATGAGGTAGGCATTCCTTTCAATACCGCTCACTTAAGCAGCTTCTATGTAGCGGTAGAGGCAATTGGCCAATTTGAGCTTGGGATGAAACCCCCAACCCCATATGAGCTTTTAGTGCCTCTTTTGAAAATGGCGGTGAGTGTCACGAAGGCAGTTGTTGAAGTTAAGAAGGATGCATGGGCTCAGTATGGGGTTTCTATTATGATTGATGCTTGGAGTGATAGGAAGAGAAGAAGTTAGATGAATTTGCTTGTGAATTGTCCTTTAGGGACTGTTTTTTTGAGGTCTATTGATTCCTCTGATCAAATCCATGATGCCCATTACATATTCCAAGTTTTAGAGAAGGGAATCAAGGAGGTTGGAGAGCATCATGTTGTACAGGTTGTCATAGACAATGCTGCTCCTAATGTTGTTGCAGCTAATTTGTTGCGCATAACTTATCCTAGAATCTTTTGGACACCATGTGCAGCACATTATATAGACCTCATGCTTGAGGCTCTTGGCGGTTTAACCGAGATATCAGGTGCTGTGAAGAAGGCAAAGTCAGTTACAAATTTCTTTTATGGCCACCATCTCACCCTCTGCATGATGTGTAGGTATACAAAGAGGAAAGAGATTGTGAGGCTTGGGGTCACGAGATTTGCGACCTGGTACTTATGCTAGATAGCATACATTCGAGGAGAGTGCAGTTGAGGCAAATGTTTGCCTCGGATGATTGGAGAGCATGCAAGTGGTCCAATGATCAGGTTGGGAAGAAGGTGAGAGATATTATCCTTTCTAAGGCTTTTTGGCAAGGGGTGAAGGACGCTCTTAAGGTATTTTTTCCTCTTGGCAAAGTCTTTTGCATGGTTGATAGTGACAAGCCTTCTATGGGCTATATATATGAAGCTATAGAGAAATGCAAAAGAGAGATAGCTCAAAATTTTGATAATGATGAGAATTGCTACAGGCCTGTTTAGGAGATTATTGATGAGAAGTGGGATAAGCAGCTACATCGGCCATTGCAAGCAGCTGGTTAGTATTTGAACCCAGCTTGTTTTTATGTTGACAAGGATATACACACAAATGACACAATTATGACTGGATTTAATAAGTGTGTAGATGTGTTAGTCCCTGATCTTGATATCCAGGGTATTGTAATCGCTGATGAGCTGATAAATTACAAGTGCTCATTAAAGTCTTTTGGGAGTCTAATGGCGATGAGGCAAAGGACCAACGTTGATCCAGATAGTAATAATATTTTTAAGTTCATCAAGTTCAAGTAATCTAGTTTCATTTTTATAATTCTATTATGTATTTATGATTTTATTCTATATCTTTACAACCAACTGGTAGAGCCAATATGTTTCTCCAAATTTATAAAAAGTTGGCCATTCAGATCGTAAACCTAACCACTTCCTCATCCGGTTTTGAGCGCAATTGGAGTACTTTTGAAGGGGTAAGGCCGTCAGGGATTTTGTATAATTGTATTAATAATACATGAACCATAGATTTTAATTAGTTTGATTTGATTTTGTTAGATTCAAACAAGGAGAACTAACATGCTTGAATCAAAGAGGCTCAATGACCTAGTCTATATTAAGTATAATCGATTCTTGAAGGACAGGTTTGCTAAGAGATATAAGAGAGACTCTGATGAATTTGATGATAATGCAGCTGACCCTAATTTTTCTGATGATGCATGATGAATGTTGAATAATTATTAAACTTTGAACTTTGATTGAACTATGAATGGTAAATTTTAAGTTTTAATTGGATATGGATTATGAATCGACTTATGGTTATCCTTATGGAGTGTATACTAATATGTAGTATACTTTCATTCTGATGTGCCCTAAATACCTAATTCTTATATTTTGTACAATATATAATTGTAGAAACTGTAGAATCCTTTTTGGATTCAACTGAGCCACCCAGGTTCTGAGCACCCGCCTAGGCGCTGAGTAGTTTGGACCTCCCATGCCGCTTAGGACCCACCTAGCGCTTTTTGAAACTACGACTGGATCAAATGTGAGTTGATTCAAGTTCTTCAACTAGACGGTTTCTTTTGCTGTGAGACGACAAGACATGTACTCTGACTCCATAGTCGAGAGTGTAACAATGTCTTGTTTCCTTGAGCAGCTGGAAACAACTCCACTAGCAAGTGTGAAGATATACTTGGATGTGGATCTAATCTACTTTGGATTGCCCTAACAGTTCGCATCTGATTTTTCGAGCCTCCAAATCTCCAGACCAACAATTCCCTTTAAATATTGCAGAACTCTTTTTATTGCTCTCTAGTGCTCCATGTCTAGATTACTTTGGACCTTGCTGATCACACTCATCGCTATGATAAGTCCTGTCTCTTCCCCAACATAGCAAACATCAGCGAAGCAACTGCACTTTTGTATGGAATTCTTTGCATAGTCCCTTTTTCTTCTATTCTTGTGTGACGCATGGCTAGACTTAACTTAGTCTTCTTATCAATGAGGGTCAGTATGGGTTTGGTATTTTTCATTTCAAATCTTTCCAATATTTTCTTGCTGTATGTCTCTTGTGATAGCTGAGTGGTTCTCTCCCTTCTATTTCGTGTGATCTTGATTCTCAAAAAATACAAAGCTTCTCCAGGTCTTTCATATTGAAGTTTTGTGACAAGAAAGCTCTAGTTTCCAAGAATAGGAGTCATCAAATTACTAGCAATTAGCATGTCATCCACTTACGGGGAGATGAACACAACATGACTTCCATTGACCTTGAC